CCCCCCCCCCCCCCCCTCCAAGGACATAGCCACAGCAGGGCGATCGTGATCGCCATGTTATACCCACATCCAGTACATGTTAAAAATTCAGGTTCTAGTTCGTACCAACCGCATCCAGACAGTTTGAGTTCGTCTTAGCTGGCCCAGCTTTTTCGGAAATATACATATCATCAAAGGAAGGCTACCCGTTCGATACTCAACCAAAGTCGGAGGGGGCTGGGTTGAAGTCTCTCTTAACCCTTTTGGGTCTACCTCTTATCTCTTTGCAAAAAAAAAAAAGGGAGGAGAGAGTGCGGGGAGAGACAGAAGTACAGCAGAGAGAAGACGTGTGTACTTCTGTAGACGCACCAGTGTATCTCCACCCATAGGCCATGAGGGCTGCCCGCGACTGGACGGTGGACACAGACAGGGCCATAGAAGGGTTGATGTGGTTGCGGTGCGGCAAGTAGCGCAGTTTAGGCTTGTAGACCTCGAAAACATCAGTCGTCAAGCCGCCTGAACTACTCTATACTTCTCTGTCCCCTCCCCAATGTGAGCGCTGCCGGCTCACTACAGCTCCTGTGATTTTCCGACAATTCCCACAAGCGCGCAAGCACACATCAGCACACAACTACCTTTGCATCAGTGGCTCTCTAGGTTCTGGCGAGGGTATATGTGGGGCAATGCTGATAGTGTATGTGTTACTACCTACTCTGTTGTAAATGTTGGACTCGTCTATACGCTGCTGCTGTGTAGAATAGCCGCTGACGTGGTGCTGGATTTGGGGAGTGTACGATTTTCGAATTTGGAGGATAGACTATGCAGCATACCACGATATCCTGGCCTGTTTGGGCTTGAAGTGCCCCTTTTCGCTGTCCTCCTGTCTTTGCTTTAGTGTCTTCCTAGATTCGGGCGAGGGCATGTATGTGGAGCTATTGATGTGTGTCTCTGTGAAAGGATATGGGGAGAGATTCATGCTGGTATTCGCATTTAGAGCAGTGTGCAATTTTCTAATTTTGGCCGTCCCAGCGACCTTGATATTTCCCGCTGGCACTAACGTCTTTTCATTGGCCACCGGGTAGCGCGGTCGATGCGAATAGTGAAGACACACCTACCTATTGACTTGCCAACACTTGGCGTGGAGGGATACAGGGCGGCAACTCCATGGCACGTCACAATACCAGCATCTACAAATGATCAATCAATGATCTGTCAGGACGCCTGTAGACCCAAAAGGGTAAAGTTCCATAATACAATCGAGGGCAACTGCAAGCAATCCGATGGCGACACCACGAGTAAGCACTGCTCCAACTGAATAAGAGCAGCTTGACTCACATTCGTCAAGTGTTTTTTCAAGCTGAGGTTCTTGGGTTTGGACTGCCAGATGCCCTCGAACGTCTTCACCAGTACAAACCCGTCGACGAGCAGGCTGAGACCCAGCACGGACCATACCTCCATTCCCACCTGTCAAAAAAGGCCCCGTTTGTCGAGACATGCAATAAAGGGTACTAGTAGCTGAGAGCATTACTCCGTATCAATTATCTCGATCGGGCGCTGCTTTTAAGCATACGCGATGGATGCTTTGAGATCGGGCAACCACAACGCGTGTGGCGGGGGCCTCGTTACTTCCAATGCGACAACACGCTCAAGTATCCGAGTTTAGCGGCCAACAATGGCAGGATAAGATGACACAGCATGGTCCCGTGGCAATACTGCCTTGCCAACAGCGACACACAAACACCTACATGAACGCCAACTATGTTCGGAAGAAAACCAACACCAGTGACTCTATTTCGCTGGAGCATTCCATGCACAGCACAAGAGCTGTTGCTCCTCCGCCCCGAAGTACTTTCTTGTGTCGAAAATTACGCGATGAAAGTGCCACCACAACCGTGCACCTTGTCTAAAGCAACCGTGGGGTTGATTAGCTCCTCGATGCTATGTCTCATAGACACACCCGCACCCAGCCAGAAGGTTCCCAGCGCTGACACCAGAGCCCAAAAGTACACCGACTTCCCTGTGGCGACAAAGACAGCACGCACGCCACAACATTCCACAGGTCAATCGAGGGACAACCGCCACATCACAGCAAAACGAGCACGACAAACAGCCCAAGCAGCAGCAGCACTACACCACCTACACCACCACCACCACCATAAACAGCACAAACAGCAGCAGCAGTAGCAGCAGCAGCAGCAGCGCGGGCACTTTGTGTCTCGGACTATTTACTGCTCCGGGAGGTGCTGTAAAAGAGATTTTTGCTTTCAGCTCGGCACGTTACGACAGAACCGTGGTCCCCTACTACCTTCCTGCTGAACAGCATATGTGCGCGAATGCTTCTAACAACTCCAATGCCGCTGTAATTACCTTTCAAAGTCTCAAGCAACACCGTAGGACAAACCTGCGCTGTTTACATCTGCCTTTGCTCGTGTGTGGCGCACACACTCGGTCACCGCGCCCGCTAGTGTTGGGTCAGTTTCCACCATACCTTCACCAGAGACCACCCGCTCCCTGCGCACCACCGCCGCCGCTCATATTGTCACGAGTTCACCGATGATACATAGTAGTGCATCTCTTGAACCATATGGCCGCGGTGAAGTGCAGGCAAATACCTTTACGAACCAGCCTCTCTGGAAATCCATCCTACCCCCTTACCGTATCCATACTGGTGCCGTTTATCGGGAGCAGTGGACGCGCTCCTGAGTCCCACCACCAGCAAAAGCTGATTCGCCGAATCGACCAGGGAGTGCATCGCCTCCGAGCTCATGGCACTAGAGCCGCTGTGCATGTACGCCAGAAACTTGCCCAGAGTAATGACAAGGTTTCCAGCTAGGGCAAGCTAAGCCGGTGCCATGCCCGTCGAAGGAAGCACGTTCGGCGTCGAGCGAGCAAAAGGTCGGCAGGGGAGAAGCATTCAATCAATGGAACTCATGAGAAGCAACGCGTGAAATGCACGGCGTTGAGAGGCGCGCGCGATTACACGCCCGACTCTGGCGGAAGTAGTCGGTGCCGCGAAGTTCGGAACATGATATTGCCTTGACGAGAAAATCGAAACATAAATGTGCAAGAGATATCGACGGTACAGAGATCAAGGCCAGACACACACTTTTGGAGTCAAGAGAGTCAAGAAAAACAGTCAAGATCGATTTCGCCGGAAGTAAGGGCCGCTCTGCGACAGGTAGTTGCACGTGCTGCACGAAATCGAGATGGTGGCGAAGACTGGATAATTCCGCTACGAAGACCAAACTCTGCTCGTCGTGGCTGCTATCATACAACGTAGAGAAGGAGGTAAAGGCAAACGCTTCCCAGTACGCTCGCAACTTGATGACTGCTGTGCGTTCACGCGAACATTCTGAAATTCGTGGCATTCACATGCGGCACCTTGACGCAGCAGCTTAAAAGAAACACAAGCAATCCATCAAGCCAACGGTCACCGCTGTCTTCTCCACCGCTCATTCGCGCCGACTGCTCCGCAAGAGGTCGAATGGCGTACTCTGACGTACAACATTGGAAGGGCTACGATAAAAGCGACTTACACGCACGGTCTACTTTGCCCGCGGGTTTGATGTGACGGCTTGTGCATGTGTTTCAACCAACTGCAACCAACTGCAACGTGCACTCGACGTTGCCGGCACTTTCCACGCCGCCACAGCGCACAGGCATCCATGTTCCGTGCAATGGAGCCCGTGAAAAGAAACTGACCTTGACAGTCTTCATGCTTTTCTTGGACTTCTTGTCCCCTTCCCCAATCGACCTCCGGGTTTCCGCGTCCATGCCCGCCTGGGCCTGTTCCGCCTTGCTCTTCGATCCCAACCCGCCAGCTCCTTCGTCCGAGCTCAATGCCATCTGCTGCGCACGCGCTATCGCCGCCATAGCGCCCCTCCCGAGCGCCGACCTCTTTCCATCGCCACCCGCAAGGCCCACCGGGCGGGGCACAGCCGGTATCGGGCCGTCGCCTTCTCTTCTTCGCCGGGCATCGTGGTGAAGGTGGGAGCAGAACGGCAGTCCTGGCGTCGAGGGAGGGATCTGGTAGCGATGTGGTTTCAAGCACCATGGCGCGCCGACTGTTGCTAAGTCGTCATAGACGCGGTTGCGGGACGTAAACCTCCTGGAGCAAACGGTAGAAGTACGGCCAGCATGGCGCAGCATTGACAACGCCTAGGCCCCGGCGAATTGCAGAGGACCAGCATGCGATCCGAGTGCTGCCGAGACGCGGCGGAATCAGGTGCTCTGGGAGTACGCGGATTGGGCAGGGGGGGGGAACAAGGGGTTACGTGGTGCAGAATATCTGTAAGTCTGTCATGGCAGTCATGCAGCTTGCAGCTTTGCTTAGATTTTCAGATTTTCGCAGACGTAGTGTCCCCGTGTCCCTGTCCCTCCGCGCTCCAACCAAAACCGCTGTTTGTAGAGGAGGGGGGGGCGTTGCAACACAGCCCCGATGTATGTGGCAAGCTTGATTGTGGGAAACTGGCAATAGTTTAGCATGTAGCTGTACCGACCTTGTCATTCGGAAATGGTACATGCAAAACTCTTTCTCCTGCTGTGTTGTGCTACCCTGGTTGGTGCATACAGAATTGTATCGACCGTGTAAGGAGGATCATCACCAGATATAAGTGGGACTATAGTATACTTTTTGCCCGGCTTACCAGCACTGGATTAGTACAAAGCAAGTCTTTGAGGAAGGCAGACTCCCACACACGAAGAAAGAGTAACAGCATTAGATACCCACCACCCACAACAAACACTCTCACTCGATTTCAAAACAAAGCACCAGCTACTGGACTAGGGGAATGCTTTTAAGAAGGGCTACCCGCCTCACGTAGCCTCTTTGATTTCGTGTAGTCTACTGTACCCTATTAACTCTATCACGCTCAACCCTAGGGGTCATGACGAGTACCACATGCATTGCTGCCGACAAAAAAGAGCATCGGCTCGAACGGAGCAGCAAAAGCATTGGCGATCCGTGCACACATGTCGATACCCCGGGCTATTGTATGTGTTCAACAGAACGCGAAACGCTCGCTTACACCATCCAACCAACATAATCAGCACAATAATTCTAGTGAATAAAGCGCTACCGACCAATCCCATACAGCACTATCGGACACGTACTTAGCGTTACAAGGACCAGCCCGGTTGGCAATACAATTGGGCTCCTTGCAACACAGCAGTAACAACACTGTGGGTACACTGGCGCCCGTGCTTTTTAATAACACGGTACAGTCATGACGCAAAGTGTAAGTGTGCAACAAGCACTCCGTCGCCTCATCGGCGAATTTTCTTTCTCAACATTTTCGAAAATACGTACAATTGCAGTCAGCGACATCGGAACCTCAAAGCAGCGGACTTGCTCCGCTTTTGGGACACATCGTGCCCTAGGAAATAGCCATACAACAAACTTGTACCAGGAAGAGGGTTTTTCTTTGGTAGAGCGTTTCCTTGCTGGAGGATACGTCAGGAGTTCTACATGATGCGCGACTCGTTGGCGTTCACCCCCCCGTCGCGGCTAGTCCCGCCCTCCATCGAGTCCAGCGCATCCTCGTCCTTCTTTCCCATCATGTCAAGGTCCTGCAGCATCCGGGGAAAACCACGGGGAGGGAAAACAGCATGAGAAGCGGCGACATAGGCAAACATGAGCAGGCACTCACAGCTCCGCCGGACGAAGGAAATATCCGTCAACCTTGTCTACACCCCAAGGACAAAACTTTGCAGGACACCCGACTTGTTGTCTCTCCAAAAGATGTCGAAGGAACAAAAAAAACAAAGACAGCTTGTATAGATACAATGTGCAGTTAGCGCCCGCGTTCGAGAAACACCAATTTCCGGTCCAGTCTCAAATTCTTGTTGTGGGCTAACAACTCAGGGTAGGTTGTCCAAGTTCTTATGTCAAGTTTCTTATTTTTCGTGCTGCAGAATCCTGCTGAATTTCTTTGATCGGCAACTTCCTGTTGGTTCTCTTCTTGCCTACAAAATTTAACAAATGATTTGCGCTGCTCTCCTCGTCTCCCGTACTCAACCCCGATTGATTCTCACCACCGACGGTTGTAATGAAGTACATATGAAGGCCACAGCCTAGAAGCGAAACATATTCAGCTGAAACGCCTCGCTGTCGCTACAAGGCCCTGTGCCCCCCTCTTGAGTGAGGGCTGAAACTAATTAAACGAACACCCCACGATGCCTCACCCACACACTGGCATGCCAACAACGAAAATCAGCCGTCATTTATGATACAAGCTCAGTGAGGCGATCATTGGGGGTCATCGCCCTTTTGCGCCTCCCATTCCCTGCCTCTGGATCTACCTCTAGAAGCACCCACGCCCCAATCGAAGTAGGGTAGCGGTCGCTCCTGTTCTCTTATTGAGACGTTTTGTATTTTGTGGCGCAGGTTGAGCTGTGTTTCTTTGTACTATTTTATTATCTTTCGTGGAAATTGAACCTTTGTTTCTTCTCAACCGCGGGCGCTAACTGTATCTCGAACGGGCAGACAACATCAACAACAACAACAACGACGACGACGACAAAAGCACCAGCAACGACAAGCACGCCATGACTGCGACAACAACGGCCGGAGCAAGAGCACAAGAGCAAAAAACAAGGGCAGGGTCGAGCACCGGAGAGGAGACAGGCTGAAACACGACAATGGCAACCGGTCCACCAGCGACGGTTGGGTCTTAGCATCCCCTTCTCACTCTTCTTCTGGTGGTCTGCAGTCTTCAATCTTCTTGTTCTTCCTCTTGAGGTGGTCTACGGTGTTTCAGCCTGTCTCCTCTCCGGTGCTCGACCCTTCCCTTGTCCTTTGCCCTTGTGCTCATGCTCCGGCCGTTGTGTCTTTCGGTGATTCATCGTGTGTATCATATCTAAAATATAGCGGAAAGGTTTTGACTCGAAAATGGCATCATACCTGGGTCGGCACACGGCCGTAAGCGCCGGCCATCCTGCCGGACTCGCGCCCAGGGCGGAAGAAGAATCGGAAGCAGTTCGAGGGGTAGCGCGCGTAAAACGGCTTGCCATGGGTGGTGTTGTCCACCCATCGCCTCCCCTTAATCGATTCGTAGGTGGTCATGTTGATCAGTACCATTCGAAGGTGCGTGAGCAGGAGGAGCCCTATCCAAACGTCGTGATAAGCCTGACGGTACACGTACATCCGCAAGGTGAATACGCAAATGGTTATAAACCATTACAACATGGACGGAGAATTTGGGGCACGGACGAGCGCGGTGGGCAATAAACGCGTCGCGAGGATACAGTCGACACCTTGACGAAGTTTACTTCCCGATACCGCTCCGCACAGTCTGCTCGTGGAACCACAGAAGCGACATCTGTAACGCGGGACAAGGCTGCGATTGTTCGCGACGGGTAGGCTCACCGCCAAGATGGCCGTGCAGCCGAGGAACTTGGAGTGGTCGTAGACGCACCGCCACATGGCCCACTCCCCGCACTCTGCTTGCCCGTAGCTGTACAGATTCCACAGGAAAGAAGATATCCCCTGAGGGCGTGGCAGTGGACGAGGCATCGTTTAGACGTACGTGAACAGCAAGAGCCTTCCTCAGAGGTGGTGATGATACTACACAAGGCAGGGACCGGCACCATCTTTCTTCAAGTGAAGCGGCCACACCAGAATCAACGAAGGCGGTCATCCCCGTTGGAGCGTGCACACTACCTGACGCCTGTGCCTATCACGGTGATTGAAATCGTACGGGTGGCTACTTCACGAGCCGGGTAAACTCGACGAGTAGGGACCTTCGACACAAGGCAGTGTTGACACTTACTCTACATATTCCATGACGCCAACTCGTGACTCTCGCAGACCACATACCGTATATGACACAAGATAACACACCCCGTTGACCAATTTTCGAAGCTCGATTTCTCAACTGCAGGAGCAGTCACAGCGCCGAAAACGGCGGCGTTGAAACCGTTTCGTCGAGAGCTTTTCGAAAATGTATCGTTTCGTTTATGCATCCTCTTCGTCGTGGAGTGATCGAGCTTTGAAAATCGGTTCAGGGGGTGTGTTATCTTGTGTCATATACGGTAGGCGTGTTGTCCATACGCATCCGCAGCCTTTGCCGACTCTCAAGAGAAGGGTATACAGTCACGAAGAAGATACACGACGAACCTTCAACAGCGCGTCATGGCCATGAAACCTGAAACCATCACTCGAAGCAATACCTACCACAACACAACACGGCAGCAAACGCCGAACGAATGGCCGAACAAAGGCCATGCATCTTCATGCTCTCACCACAACAGCGAAAAAGAGAAAACCAACGAAGAATCGGTGGTTGTTCTGCCCCACGCAGTTTGCCACGAACGGGCAGTGATGGTCGAACCGCAAGATGCACCTTCCACAGGTATCGCAGTGCTTGGAGCGAGGAGTCTGCACGTCGCCGGAGGCGGGGATCAGGTTCGAGGTGGGGGGGGTGATAAGGAAGCCTTTTGCCGTTGTGACGAGAACGTCGTGCTAGATCAACAGACTCACACCTCGGGGTGGAGGAGCAAGCACAGGCGATTGACCCTAAGGAAGGTACTTGGTATTTCGTAACGAGCGTTTCCTATCATTTCGTGATAAAACGAGTGTCAGCACGAGCTACACGCTCGAAATATATTGCAATAGGCTCCTACTGTGTTGTTGCTGGCGTTCCCCTAGCATCAGTGGTGAGTCTGTTCAACACACGTGCATACCTCGGGGCCGGAGCATGTGTTGCGTTCACCTATTCGTCGTGCCCGAGAGAGGCAGAGCACCCACCTTCTCCACAATGCACGTCGTGCACAGCGTCTCGCTGTTCAAGCGACCTTCTTCTGCCAACCTGTTTATCGCCATCTCTCTCGCCGATGCGTCAATTGCAAGGTAACCCGGTTTTGTTGCCATCTGTGCACAGTTGCGGTCGTGTTTCGGACGATTGGTCTCTGTTGGTAGTCCATTCTCTTGTGCTGGCCGGGAGGATGGTGTGTGTGTGGGGGGCACGACGGTGATAGCGCTGATCGCTGCGGACACGCCCTACAATACGCTTAGCAACACGAGCGCACCGAGGGCTCAATTGCATTTTATCCATCCCGTTTCCTCCGGTTCGGCAACAATCATCACGCAAAGCCACCGGCTAGTCATCGCAGTGAGTCATACCCAGCACGTTTATTCGATGTTCTGCTCAAAGCAAACATATCGTCCTAGCATGCGTGTGGAACATGGAACCCTCTCCTCTCGTGAAAATGCATCTTTCTTCTCCCCCCTTCCGACAGCTCACCGACTTGTACAGTAAGCACAGCGTCGCAAGAGCCGGCAGCAGCGTCGCCATCGATCGCAGTGCCGCCTGCTCCTCCCAAAGAAACGCCGCTTCCGAGGCGACTATAAGCACCAGGGACCACAGCGCCACCCCCAGCGGTACCCAGTTCGCGTCGAACTGCACGATCTTGTACGTCAGAGAGCTCGTAGCCCCGATCCCTGCAGCCCCCCCTAAGCACCCCCAACAGCCGAACGTGTTCACGAACCCGAAGCACCAAACCAGCTGAATCAGTGGCAAAAACAGGCCCTGCTCCGCAACCGGCATCACGAGGAAACGCGGGTACAAAGGAGGATATGGCATTTAGGTGTCATGCCTAAGTATGTCTTTCTCCCTGGACGCAGCATGCCCTCGTTGATCGACCTTTCGCTCCGTCAGTTCGCTATGGTAAACAGGAACCGTTTCCTATTCGGATGGCGTCGTGGGACGCAATTTGGAACCGTGAGAGATCGCGTCGTTTCATGTTGAGCGGTAAAAAAGCAAAAAAACTATCTTAAGCATGGGGCAACGGAGGGAAGCGATCGACCAGCGGCTTTGGGGTCGCACGTATGTATCCTATTGCAGATCCTGAAGGTAGAACACTGAAAGCCGTGGTGCGATTCGGCATTTGCCGGTCGGCATTTGATGAAGCGTTGCTTCTATACCACTGCCAAGTCTTGCTTATCCTCGCCTTCGAGGAAACCAGCTACGCTTTACCCCTAGTATTTGGCATTCTACCTGGTACCGCAGGCAGCTAGGCCTCGAGGGGGTTCTGAAACGAACAATAGGTGCATGGTTCCATGGGACACCAAATCTCCTCAGCCCGAACGAGGTACAGAAATCCCTGCGCCTCGTTGACCAGCAGCAGCAAAGCCCTGCAATTGGCTCAAGGGACAAACACCGTCATTTGCGACGTACCCGGGATGCCCCCAAAGTGACCTGCAAGTCACTAGCAACAAAGTCAGCACCAACACAGGAGAACCACCGAACTAACTCACCCGCTTCAGAGGGACATCCCTTGCTCTGATCGGGATACTTCGGCACGTCTTGAGGTAACCTCCCAGCCCTTGGTTTCCCAATGACAACGCCAGCTCCTCTGGGGTAAAGCCTGCTTTGTTCGCCGCGTCCAGGCTCGCCCCCGCCTTCGTTTGTGAAGTGAAGACAGAAGTGCAAGAAAAGAGCAGTGCAAGAGAACGATTGAGCACAACAACGAGAACACCTGAGGGCAGCCGTTTCGCTTGGCTAGCGTCAAAATCATGTTAACCACACCCACACTTCCGGAGCAAAATCGCTCGAGCCACCGGAGTTGGCAAAATAACTGTCCCACAGGACCTTGTCTGGTGTCCATCGGCCAAAGCGCACTCTCTTCACCGCGGGGGGGCACCAACTGCAACCAGTACCACCGCCCGTCTCGTTTCCCATGTACAGGTGCACAAGTGGAAGATCGTTCGCCCCTCTATTTCTGGCCAGAGCCCGAGTCGTCACTCCACAAAGGACGCGGCGATACGGCCATGGCGAGCTGCGCAAACCCACCGAGCGCCTCGCACACACTCGCCAGCCAGAGATTCGGTCGATGGAATCCATAGATCAACTCCACACCTCCCGAAGCAACGCCTCGAAAAGGAGGAAGTATCACGAAAACTCATACGTGTACATAGACTCATCACAAGTTGCTGATAAGCTACAAACCACCCTGCAACTCAGCCTTGCTGGGGCAAAGGTTCACAGGCAGGGCCGAGACCTCACCTTGAGGATCGGGGACAAGGCGTACGGCGATTGGACGCCGCCCACGATGGCCCAGTGTAGGGGGGTGTTCCCCTGCTCGAGGTCTTTCTCTTCTACCCCCGGAGAGGGACCGTAGTTCAGCAGGACTCGGATGAGGTCGACGTTGCTGATGCAGAGCTTGGTCGCGTACATGAGCGGCGTGAACCCCTGGAAGCAGATGCCCCGTGACCGTGACCGTGGCCGGCGAGGTGATGGTAGCGAAGCAACGAAGTGTGTCGGGCGACGGGAATAAAAACTATTAGCGTTGGCAAAGGCAAACGAAAGTCGTTTGGGACCCAGATGACGGGATAGGGAGGGTTTTCGGTGTCGCCGACACCGGCACAAAGAGTTCAAGATGCGCATGGTTCTCGCAATATGGAGAACGCGAAGACTCATCGCAAGTGCGTGAGCACCGCCAAGCGCGCTCCGCACTGCAGGACATCACACACCATACCTTGGAATCCTTGGAGGATACAGGGGTCCCTGCTGCAAGCACCACGAGAACGGTGTTCACGTGCCCCCGCTGCGCGGCCAGGTGTAGCGCCGTCTGCCCGTAGGTATTGCGGTGAAGGCAGTCCGCCCCGGCCTATTGCGTTATCATTTGGAACATGAACAGAGCGTATGCACCGAAAGCTTAGGGTTCGGGGGGGTCGGTGTCAGGCGCATGCGCCCGCTTCAACGACACTAGGCTGACGAAAATGGCAGCATAGGTACATGGAGAGATTGGAAGTCGTGGTAAGATATTTTTAATGCAGCAAGCGCTCGTCGACGTTGACTCGTTGCCTGGGGCCACTCACTTGCAAGAGGTCAACAATGATGGTCATGTATCCCTGCCTGGCCGCCCACATCAAGGCCGACTCTTTCAGCACTCCCCCGATAGCGCACGTGTCTGCGCCCTGGTGGCAGGCGAAGTGCGCGCGAAAATAGCGAACGTGCAAGAGTTGATTCGAGCGCATCAAATGAAACCAAGGTGTGATGCTTCATCAGTTTCTCGACTCTCACCCCCACAGCAGCAGGCAGGATATGTCGCAGACGTGCGCTTAATCGAGCCACCTGCAAGGAGGAGGTGAATGTGTTGCGTGCCTACGGGCCTTGCGTCATGGTCAGGAGCCGACCGAGCTCTCCGCCGATACCGTCCAGTGGCAGGAACAGCTTTTACAGCGTTCAGCTACTCCTTCCCAGACTGGAGCCAGCACGACTGGAGCAAGCGCATCCGCATCCGCCATGATACACCTGAACTGTTACCGAAGGTATCGCTTGCTCCAGTCGTGCTGGCTCCAGTCTGGGAAGGAGTAGCTGAACGCTGTAAAAGCTGTTCCTGCCACTGGACGGTATCGGCGGAGAGCTCGGTCGGCTCCCGACCATGACGCAACGCCCGTAGGCACGCCACGCCTTCACCTTCTCCTCGCAGGTGGCTCCGACCAGGGCGGCGGCCGACCCATGTAAAGTACAGCAGTAAACGGGTATATTATAGGACTGGATTTGCCGCAAGTTGGATGCATGTATCCCCACGCCGTATGGTCACACCTGCGTGCTGGAGTAAACTCAAGCATAACATCCAATAAAAACAGAACATAAACTCTCATCCTGCTGATGCGGCTATCTCCAAACACGCTCGGTAGACTACTGCTGTATGGATGCTCGAAACGAAACAACCATGCGTTGACCGCTGTGCATCCGTACCCGCTTCAAGAGGTACTTCACGACCCCCCGCCGGTCGTTAATTGCGGCCCAGTGAAGCAATGGCACATCTTCGGCATCCCGGTCGTTAACGTCCACCAGCACCTGAGACAAGTCAACGCCGACAGGAAACAGCCGCAAGGACAAGGCGCAGCACCTCTCCCTGGTGTAAATAGATTAGAGTCAGAGAGTCAACCCTCGATGCAAAACAACATGACAACGGCGGTGGTGGCAAGTTACTCCGCATGGACTCGATGGTGTGCAACTATGCATACAGCAAACCAAGTACGGTAATAGGGTGATGTCAAATCACAACTCTGTGTCACCCCCTGGCGAAGGGATGGCTCAACCTTCCACCTCGCCACCAAACGACCCGCGAGAGCGCAAGGAAATCACCGCTGAATTCCCCGGGCACACGCCGAGGCTTTGCATTCGAGACTAATGTGGTATCACACCCTCCGCCAGGCTCACCCTGCCCGTTGCTGGTTCCAAGAGCTCTTGAAGTGCGTCCTCGTCTCCGAACTGCATTAGAGAGTCAACGACATCAACCAGGAGAGGAAAGGCTCAGGAAGCACGAGAACGCGCGCAATTCTCTGTAAGTCTAGTGGATAAACACCCTGCTGTAATACAGAGTTTCCGCATTCCCGCAGCATCGGTATACACAGTCTATGCATATGTGGTGCACACAGGAACGGTCTGCCATCATTTGAGAAATACTTTACCAGTCACACACCTGACAAGCCTTCACTGCATCCTGCACGGGAGTACTCGCCACCGGTGGTTGATGAGCCAGGCTCGAGTTCATGATCGTCGGCGCTGTGTCCATCATCATTTATCGCTTGCCAAACCCTCCTAGCCATGCGCACCGCTGTGCAGTAGATTGGTTGCCGACACCAACATGCCGATGGCGTTGGCAAGAGGGGGGCCTGGTGCATTTTGTGCTCTACGGTGCCCCCCCCATCGTGTGGGTGGTGCCGCATTCCAAAACGTCCCCGCTCAACGTGGACGGCAGGCTCAAGCATGCCTCATGGGAAAAGTAACCCGAAGCGTGGACAAGAGTCTCTTGGAAAAGCGCTCCAGCGACGCCGTGCGCAAGAGCGAGCTGCGGCTGCCAGGTGTGTCGAATTTGACCGTGAAGAGGCCAACATCAGTGCAACAGCTACAACTACTGCTGTAGTGGTGCTACACAGCAGCAGCCTGGGAGCAGTAGTCCTGACCATTCTTGCTGACTTTCACAATGCGCTTTCGACGGAAAAGTGACAACGGCCTATTGCTGCTCTCATCCACCGGCTTTCGTCCAGTCTTGGTTGGGTTGAGGAATAGGCGATTTTTTCGGTGCGAGTCTTGGTACCCACAGAGCAAGCAACCCTTTGCACGTCCAATAGTTTCGACATTTGGACCGGCTCTATACGCGAGGCTCACGATGCAAGGCGAGACTGCTGTACAGCAGTAGACATCTCTTTACCCACGGCGCGGTCCATTTGCCACCATCTCTTCATCAACCGCGCCCACCACCCCCGGACTTGCTGTGTGCCAACCCACGCGCGAACAGCGCGTCGTCATACGATGTGGACGGCAGCAAGGCTCGCGGCAAGATGACCTCGGTGCTGGAGGCAAGCAACCTCGACGACTTTATCTCCTCCGCCATGATGTCGGAGCGAGCCTTCGAGTCCCACAAGGAGAACACGGTCGTGCTCGGGCCCGACGGATTGGAAATGAGCCTGGACGAGAACGGCGAGATCGACGCCGCCGCCGGGAGCGGGAAGGACCCCGGCACCGATGAGTTCGACTTCGAGCACATGAACATCCCGAGACGCCCGGCTTGGGCCGCGGGCATGACCGCCGAGGATCTAGACTACCAGGAGAGGAAGTCCTTCCTCGAGTGGCGGAGAGGAATCGCCAAGTGAGCACATACGGCAAGCAACCTCCTGCCCAGTCTAGCAGAATTTCCAATCATTGTGTCTTTGTTGTGTAGGGGGGTCGCAGTGGATGTTTTTGGTGTCAACACTTTTTTGCGCTTGTTCGCCTTAGGACACCATATTTGGCCTCTCTGTCGGCGCTACAGCAGGATCACGGCGCGACCGTCAAGTTTGTACGGACAGGGCCCCTACGATGGACGCAGCTCTCTCTTTGCTCTATTCCACTATTCAGTTGCCGAATACAGTGCGTGCACTGATGCCCGTGAACATGCTACCTGCTGCGGTACACGCAGAATGGGTTACATTGATACATTTGAACCCACCGCGGCGTGTTTGGGAGTGGTATGTAGCATGCCACCGACGAAGTGTACACGTGATTGATTTCGTTCCTCCACCGCCCGACGCCACATCCACGCTCCGTTGCAGCGCCGAGGAGAAGAACGGTGACATGAAGGTCACGCCATTCGAGAAGAACTTGGAGGTGTGGCGACAGCTTTGGCGCGTCATCGAACGGAGCGACCTCGTCTGCCAGCTGGTCGATGCCCGCAACCCGCTCTTCTACTACTCCACCGATCTCGAGGCCTACGCGAGGGAGATCGTGCCACCGAAGCCCACCGTGGTTGTGGTAAACAAGGCCGACTACCTGAGCCGAGCGCAGCAGAGGGAGTGGGCACGGCACTTCAAGGGGCGAGGGATCACGGTGCTGTTCTTCTCGGCCCGACAGCAGCAAGAGCAGCTCAACCGGGAGGCCAGAGAAGAGAGGGATATTGCTGAGGGTGGACTTGGCTCCGGTCCTCCTGCCTCGGATGCGTATGACTCCGAGGACGGCGAGGACGATACTGATGACGATTTTGAGGCGGACACAGAGGGGGATGGGGAAGAGGAGGAGGAAGTTGCGCTATCGGATGCGCCATCCGCTGCAGGGGCAGCGAAGAAAGGCCATGCTGGCGGGGGGGAAGGCGCGACTTCGTCGGCGGGGCGCCGAGGGAGCGGGACCGACGTAGGCAAGGGGGACAAGTCGCTGCAGGTGCTGAGCAGACTTGAAATGTGCGTCGAGCTCGAGCGGCTTGCGAGGACTCTTGGTACGCCGGACCCTTCGCGGAACGGCGGGCGTGCCTGCGTCGGAATGGTCGGGTTTCCCAACGTGGGGAAGAGCAGCCTGATCAACGTCATGGTCGGGGCGACGCCGCTGTCGCACGGTGGCGTGCGGGTCAGCGTCGGCGCCACCCCGGGCAAGACGAAGCACTTTCAGACGCTGGTGCTCAGCGACAGCCTCATGCTGTGCGATTGTCCAGGTCTCGTGTTTCCAAGTTTCGTTAGCAGGTGAGCTCAGGCAGGTTGATCGCCCGGTAAATACGAGAAGGCGTGTACCGTAACACCCTTGTCTTCTTCGTTTGATGATGGAGACCCGCTGCCCGCGTTGACCCACCTTTCTTTTCCCCATGCGTTGGTTTCCTCGATCGGTGGCAACGCTCAAATAGCACGGCCGAAATGATTTGTGCTGGAGTGTTGCCCATCATGCAGATGCGGAACGTCATGCCCCCCATGGCCCTCATCGCGCGACGAATACCTCGACACATCCTCGAGATCACCTACACCATCAAGCTCCCGGTCCTCCCGGGGGACGTCAGGGATACCGCGGGAAACGCCATGCTCTCGCCGCAGCAGCTCCTAGAGTCGTACTGCCAGGCAAGAGGACTGTTCCGCGCGCGCGCCCTCGGGGAGTCAGACATGCCGCGCGCGGCGAGGCAAATCCTCAAGGACTTCACGGATGGACGGCTCTTGTTTTGCCATCCGCCTGCCGACCTGGAGTCAGAGGTCAGTGACCTCGGTGTGTGCGCCGCGCGCGCTGACCCCCATGATGTTTGCCCGCGGTCGTTTTGAGGCGCCTTGGTGGCCGCACGCGGCCATACGCTCGAGCGTGAGGTAAACTGCGACGCGCGCGTGGTCCCCTTTGGAAGGTCATGAGGGACTCGCCCTTCCACCCGAACTCCCGTCTTGGTTGTTTCTAAATATAATAAGTAGCTGCTACCGACGACGGTTCGTTGCTCCCATCACCACCCGTTATACCATGCGCTTTTTTCGCGAACAAATGTCTGGTGCATCGACATGTGTAAATTAATGTGTTGGCCTTTCGTGTGCCAACTTTGCGCGTGCTGCCATTCTGGATACCTACCCTGCGTAGCATCGCCGTTGTGAAGGCCGGCCCTTTTTTTCCTATTCATGTCCTCGCTTTATTACTTGGTAGTTGCTCGCGTTGCTCCGGTATGCCATGACGTTCTGTGCGTGAGAGAACGCAGGCCATCACCCGGTTCCTCAAGGAGACCGACAAGACGACTCTCAAAACCACCCCGTTGTGAAGCCCGGCCCTTTTTTCCTATTCATGTCCTCGCTTAATTACTAAGTAGTTGCTCGCGTCGCTCCGGTATGCCATGACGTTCTGTGCGTGAGAAAACGCAGGCCATCACCCGGTTCCTCAAGGAGACCGACAAGACGGCTCTCAAAACCACCAAGCTCGCCGCGAAGCTCGCGTTGCAGCTGAGCAAGGCCGAGGCAAAGGCGAGCGCGGGAGGCGCGGCCGTCGCGTCCGCCGAAGCAGCGTCTCTCAAGCAGCCAGAAAACATTGACCTCATGGCAGAGGTTCTGGAGAAGAGGGCGGCGGTGGCGGCGCGCGAAGCCGAGCTAGGTCTTACGGTCGGCGCGGGTGGCAGGGGCGGGAAGCTAACCAAGAGGGAGATGGGACTCCTGCGATGGGGGAAGAAAGACCGCAAGGTTGGCAACAAGGACCCGTACGGCAACCCTGACGTGGAGACCGCGGCGTCGCTCGGACCGGTAGGAGCGAGGGTAGCCGGGGGGGGCAAAAAGGGGCGCAGGGGCAAGAAGAGGGACGGCTTTGTCCGAAATACGATGCCGCACCACCAGACGTACTCGGGGCCTGCTGTATGACGGACGCATGTTTGACTCATGCGCACGGAGTTGTGAACGGAGGCCTTTTGTTTGTGCGTTGGTTATAAGCTCGTGAGGAAGTATGCTACTCCTGGTGAGAGATTGACCCCCAATTTTTCGGTGTGCCCAGCTTCGTCTGTACTTGATTTTTTTTCCTTCTCGTGGTATATTCGTTGTAGAAAGTGCTGATGTGCCCGGACGTTTGACATTGCGGGTGTAGGACATTCGCTTGTAGTTCGTACTTCACATGCTAGTACATAGTATGATCAGTACGCGGAGAGCTACTCGTGACGAAAAGAGGCGAAGGATGGACCCGTTATCCGTATAGGGCAGGCGTTGTTGGCTCACGAGTTAAATTTGCTCTGCTGTAGGGTCGTCTTGCGGCCACGAAATAGGCAAGACTCGGGCAGAGAGGACGCTATTGGTGTGCGAGGGCGAGGGTCAATCGTGCGGTGACGAGATCATGCGTTGCGCTTGAGCGACCATGTCGAGCATGAATGTTGCTCAGGAGGCTCGACTTTGGTGCTCACATGCGCCTCGACGTACCAATATTTTAGCCAGTGAACACAGGGTCTGTGTCGGCGGTTAGTCCTCACGCGGACGGAATACACACCCGTCGTTCTGCCTGTTCTGGGGGGTGCAAGAGTGAGGTTGATCAGACTGATGAACACCAAGTATGGTACTTCTATGTTTTTTGTCTTTCAGAAGCAAAACCATCTCCGTCGCCCTCTCTCCTCTGTGTTTGTGTGCATACATGTGCGACATCGGTATCCGCCGATTTGGTGATGGTGAAAATCATGGATAGATCCGTGTTCCTTGGAGTGAACAATCATGAAGTACTGCTTCTCTGCGATCACAAAAAGTAACGATGATGATTGAAGATTGCTGCTGCTGCTGTGTGAGCACACACGTGACATAATGTGTAGCAGCAGCAGCGGTGCCGTGCAGACGCATGTACAATACATAGCTCTGGAGAGGCGATGAGGGCTCGAATAATGCAACGCATCGCGTACTGCTGTACGTACAGTCGACCCCGCCTAAGGGACGCACATGGTTTTTCCCGAAAAAAAGCGTCCTTAAAGCGGGGTTGCGTCCTTTAAATTCAGGGGACGATAGCTCCCCATCGCCGTGGGCAATGGATTCATGCTATTATACCCCAAACTACGCGTCTTTTGCAAAGGAACGGTGTGGTATGAAAAGCCAGCATCGCCGAGACGACTGGCAACCGCTTGTTGACGTCGAACACATTTATAATACTTGAAATGAGATGTACATACAGCAGTCGGGGACGTGTTGAATGCATCCAACTACAGTACAGAAGTTTGAACTTTTCCAACCAATGTACTGCATAGTCTAGCCGGCAGCGGAAGAAGGAGGAAGTCCAAGTAGACAAATTTATCTCATTCTTGTGAACCAATACACAACGAGCGTATTTCAGCGTCGCAGGGAACACCAGTGTTACGGTTACATTGTTACGGTTGATAGGAGTTGTTGCACCTTTGAGATATTATAGTGCGTTATTCCCAACAGGTAGGTACTAGCAGTAAGGTCCGGTTTGCCGGGCCTCGTCTAGAGGCTAGGTTGCTCAGCCCCCTTGCCTCACTCCTCTCCTTGCTTGCCCTGAGTTAGCAATAATCAACAAGCAAATACCGTATCCACGACCGGAGACCTTCTACTCCTTCTCACAAGCCACCTTCGAGGTTCATACTACCGCTGTTGTTCCGGCTCATCTATACCGAACTTGGTACCGATCGAGATGCCGCTGTAAGTCGGTAGCAGTGCTTGCAGGCTGGGTCCCATGTACTTCCTCTCTGGATAACTCCTCTCGACACCCAGGGTCCTGCCACTTGAATGGCTAGAGAACACACAGACAGACCCACATAGACATAGCACCCGCCCCTGCCCCTAGCCTCTCCTTCCGTTATATGTTGTCCAATCCGAGAATCGAACTCGGGTTTCCACAGCGCTCCTTCCGTTATACCAGTAACAATTATAGCATTTATCTTTTTGCTCACAGGCCTGCGTGCGGACCACCACGCTTTCTGCGCAATTTCTGTCGGGCGCTGTGAGCGCAGCAGGCTTTTCACTTGGTTTCAGTATGCAAATCACTCCGAAATCGGCCCAGAAAACGGCTCTCGATCGCCCTCGTGCCTCCGTTTCAAAGTGCGTGTTTTCGTCGCCCGGGGGCCGTTTTGCGGTCCGGTTGGCGGTGGACGCTGCCACTTACCGCTCCTGCGACCCATATCGGTGCTGCGCGCGGGCTTCCTTATCCCGCATTTCTCTCTCTCCGAGACCCGCTCTGCTCTCACATCGGCAACGGTGGGTCTTTTTTTCGTGGGCTTTTTTGGTCTCTCGCTCGCTCTCACATCGGCAACGGTGGGTCTTTTCGTTTTCGTGTGCGGACCACTCCGGGAGGGAACACAACAATTTCATCCGTCTTGTTTTCTTTCGATCGCTGCTGCTGTATAGCTTCGTGTCTCTCTCCTTCCTATGTCTCTCGCTCCCATTGGGCGCTACTTTCTTCCGTTCCTTACGCGGTGGCGGTGTCCTCAGTCTTTTCCTGACTCCCTGCGCTTTTTTTTTCGTTTTTCTTTGCGCAAATTATACACACACGGAATGCTGCGGACCATCACGTGCCCCTTCGTCTTTGACTCTCTCTCTCTCTCTCTATCTCTCTCCTGTCTCTCTATCTATCTCCCTCGCTCTCTGTCCCCGCCCCCACGGTCGGCGCCCACCCACCACACCTCATTCACAATCCTCCCCACACCGAGTAGATGGCTTCTCGCAACATTTTCGCTGCCACCCCGCCTAGCTCCAAACGCAAAACAGCCGATTTTTAACTCGGCGAGGTGCTCTGAC